TTAATTTTCGTAGCAGACTTCTATATAAGGAGTTGATGTTCATATTTGTGTTCGATTCCTAATTTTGCAAAAGAGTATGTTGTAAGCAGAACGGTTTTTAAGAATTATAATTCTTTCTAATATAAACGAAATTTCAAAACCCCCCCCCCCCAAAATCACAGAAACAAAAATTTGAACAGAAAAATCATTTTGAAATCCAAATTTACACTTCTAAACACATAATATTCAAACCAGAAAATTAAACTAGTCTTGATCAGTTGCATATACATTGTTCATTCAGTTTTAATTATTTTCTTTTTCCATGATGACAATCACGTGCCAAGCGCACACAAAATAAGACAAATACATTTGTAAAAAAACAAAACAAATAAGACAGGACTCAAAATCGAAGGTAAAAAAACATAAATAAATAAAAAATACTTAGAAGCGCAGTAGCGCCGTGATAATAAAAGAGCCTCTCACATGCGCCAATGTGTCCAATTATACTTTTGTGTTGGTTTTTGCTCTCTGGTGATTGTATAGTTAGGAGATGGCATGTCCTTGCATGATATGGTTTTGGCGGACGCTTGTGTACATCTGCGTAGCGTTTGTATAGCACGTGGGGTTGAAAAATGAGATTGCTAGGGCTAGGGCTTGTGGCACCTGCTAGGCTTCTACAACTCTTGTACATAAATTAATAAGCTTTCTTTTACTATGTAAAACCTCACAACGCCTTTTCCTTCCTTTCTTTTTTCTCTTTCCTTTTCTGTGAAATTTGTTTTACTTACACATCTCTGGGGAAAACCCAGTTTTGCTTCTTCATCAATTAATTTCTTTGGTTTAGGTCTACTTTGCCCCTCGACATAAAACTGGGAAACACAGAGTGAGGGACAAGGGCTACTCTACAGCTGAAGCATAAATGGGAGGAATATTAACTTTGAGAAATTAATGAAATATATGGTAAAAATTATATGTTGGAAACTTTATGGTTAACAAGAACCCTAAATCACAAAACATATGCGCATGCATCTGAAAAAGAATTTGGCTATCAATTTGACCCCAAATAAAATAGTTGTAAAAGAAAGAAATAACAGTTTCTCACCATAGCCTGCTACATGACTATTGCGGAAAAGAGGACAATACCATATTGGATCATCATCCATCTCACTGCGGTCAAGGCCAACTGGGCACTAACAAAAGGAACGATCTTCTACTCACTATGATCCTTTATGTTCTAATGGTGATAGACCCATAACGTAGAATGTATTTTTCATGTGAGCATAGACGCTTTCTTTTATGTACACAACCATAACCAACTCCCACCCATCATGGGAAGCCAGCCCGCTTGATTCAACAGTGCAACCTCAGACGTTAATCAAGAAGCATACAGCCGCAACCGTTGTATCCACGTTCAAAACATGAATGTGGTTTGCCGTGTTTTCTCAAAATACGGGTAGTGTTCTATTTTTCATAATAACTCTTATTAATACTTATTATCTCATTGTATTTATCCTTGATAATTAGTTAAGTCCAATTAAGGTTACAACATTATAATCATAGCTTACCACATGACAACTAAGTGGTTGCTAGCGCCACTCTAGTGGCATGTTACGCCCCAAACAAGTTTTCCTCTACATTGTAAGTGGAAAACGTCTAACTTGATGAGAAAAAAAAAAAAACGCTAATAAGATGATATGGTGCTTATTTTCTATTAGTCACACATTATATAATATGCCAATTTAATTTAAAAGTTAGTTTATATAACATTACTATTTGATAATCTCCTTCCATCACTCTATTTTTTTTGTTCAGACAGTGATTTTTTTGTTCAGACCATATTTTTTAATCTCTTACCCTCGCCATCGGTCCACAATTGAAAGCACCCGCCTAATTTTCAGAAAAATGGAGATGAAGGGATTGCAGTGGCTGCTGAGGTGTCTTGGGATGCAGTTACGTAGGGCGGGATAGATGGGGGGTGGGAGTCGAAGATCACAGTCTGGACACGGTGGTTATGGAGGGAAGATAGAGGAGGTGTGGTGGATTCGAAGAAGGAAGGGGGAAGGGAGAAAGAGGAGGAAATAAGGAGGGTTGCTGCTGGGAAGCGGGAGGTTGAAGATGAATAGTGGGGGCGGGTCCCACTATGTTAAAAAAATTTAAAACGAGAATGGGGTAACGGGGGAGGGAGAAAGAGGAAAGAAAAGCAGGGTCAGCCACTAGAAGATGTAAACGACGCGCGGCAACACCTGATAAGGCCACGTGTTATTTTAAAATTTTTTCTTCAAATTACTAAAAACTCAATAAAATCCTTAATGATTGCTCTACAATTTAAAAAAATATGCAACCCTAGTGCTTAAATCCTCTACTCTTTAATAATGATTAGATCATCATCTGTATTTTTGACATTTGGGGAAGTCACACGTTGTTGTTAGTAAATCAATCCCTATATTCAAGCTGCTGTTTACAACCCCAATGTCGTTGCGGGTGAATTAATCCCAAAATCCGTGTCGTTGTTGGTGATTTAATCCTCAAACTCAATGGATTTTGGAGCTGAGCAACGAGTTTTGATAGGGAGTAGATAACAATATAAGAGGGAGAAAATAAAAAAAGAAATAAAGTCAAGAAAGAAGAGTGTAAGGATATAATAATTATTTTCTAATTAGCTTAAACTCATGTGAAATGCTTTATTGACCTATGAATAATTATTATAAATATTTGATTGATTTTGTCATGAAAGAAAATTGAGTATTGATTTATGACTAATTAATAAAGATTTTATTTACCTTTAGCTAAATAACCTTAAAATTAAAAAAATATATATTAATTTTCTACTTCTTACGTGTTATTTTCTCTCTCTTACGTGTCTCACTCTCGCACCTTGACACCATCTGAACCTCCGAAACCCCAACTACTCCCCACGACCCACCCTTCGAAATCCTAAAATTAATTAGTAAATAAAAATCAGAAGTGTAGAACTTGCGTAAGTAAGTTTCATTCAAATTTAGAAATATTCATAACTTGGAAGTAATTTTTCTAGATATATGTGAAATAATACTTCACATTTTAATACGCCTCTTCACGTATAAACAAGTACTCAAGTCAAATATAAAAATAGCATATTTTGGTTTAACCCGTGAGGCACGCATGATTGTTGTGCTGAATACATGTGCCAATGCATAGTGTCTTAACACATTAAAGCTCACTTAAAAATCTATTATACAACTCTATAATCTGCTTTGCTAAAACGAGTAGTAATTAAACACAATTTCACAAGAAAAGAAAGGAGGATAGTAAAACAGAATTATCCACGGATTAAAGAAGCTTCTCATTTGAATATCATTAGATGGGCTATGCTTTCGAAATTCAAGGATCATACACTTAATAATGGGCTACGCTGCTAATAATTTGTTATCACTGGGGTACCGTTTGGTACGCAGACGGAACGGAACAGGACAGGACGGAATAGTGATTCCATGTTATGTTTGGTATGCGTAGGACAGAACGGGAGAGTTGTTCTGTTCTGCGTTTGGTACGCACAGGACGGAGTGGAACCAAAAGATTAAAATGACTAACTTACCCCTGTTATGTCTATTGTTTGGTACAATGTTTAGGCTTGGACGGAACGGAACAATTTTTTATTTATTTTTTATTTTTTTACCTTCTTGCTGCTGCTTATCAATGATATATTTTGTACACTACAATTGGATGTGTTCATATTTCGTACCGTGTATAACAGAAAACAAGATACATGTATTTGTACTTTATATTGCTCATATATTAATTTAGTGGGATAATACATCAATTAATTTTATGTGATTTAAAAAAATAATAGAGTGAGAGCATGCCATTGGCTTGGCACTTGGCACTTGGCACATGGCAGTGTAGCCACAATATGTATATAGTTATGTATATGAGATGAATTACATATGAAGAGGTTGATGTGGTAGAACAACCGTCGATGGGCTATCCTTGGATTAAAGAAGCTTCTCATTTGAATGTCGTTAGACGGGCTATGCTTTCGAAATTCAAGGATCATACGCTTAATAATGGGCTACGCTGCTCGTAATTTGTTGTCACTCGCAGCATAGCCATCACTTAAGGTGTCAGTCTTGGTTTTCGAAAATTAAGGCGTCCGAGTCCCATCGCAAACTACAAAGGCATCAGCCGTCGATATGAAACATTATAGTGTGACTGAAAAGTCCCTTGTGTTTGGAAATCACTTCTGTTTGTGTGGATGGGCCATTTCTTTTGGGATACACTGGGGGAATTTTTTTATATTAATTGGAATACGAGTAGTATATTATATGTTTTTATATAATTAGGAAAAATTTTATTTTTTTAACTTTTTAATTCTTATATTTCATTATTTGTATAGAAACGCATGATGTTTCATTTCGTGTAAACTAGAACAAATTAAAAATGTTATGACTTAAATTGATATTTGTTGGATATTTGAAACATGCCATTAATGTGAATTGCAATATGCTTTGGTTGTCGTGTAATAGCTAAGTTTTCACGTAAGAGCTGCCGTTATATAAATATATAAATATATATATGTATTATATTATTTATATGTATCATACATATATTATATAAGTGAATGTTTGATCTACAACAATGCTACCCTTCCTGACTTTTACGCAGGCATGGCTACCTGTATGCATGGTTATCTGTTGCTCAGCACCTCTACAGGAACACAGAATAATAGGACAAAATAAAAAAAACGAAGAGGACTGGAGGAGGGCAGGGTACTGTCCTCTCGCTCTCTAGACAAATAGCTGAGTGCCACGTGTACTCTCTCTCTAGACACAGAGCTGGGCATGCTCTCTCTCTAGACTGGGCGCCACTACATAATCCACCCCCTCTCACAGAGAGCTGGAGACACCACAACATTTTATCATTTCATTTCAGCCATGGCAAATTTGGCAACAGCACCACCCAACACATCCCTCCCACCTGAAAACCCAGAACTTAACCCCAAAACAATGGCAGCTTCTTTCACCACCCAGGGTTGTTGTTCGCCATAGGTACCAGTGAGCCAGGTACCTTTGTGAGCAACAAAGCCCACAAAAAGCTGCTCTATATTGTGGGTTTCTCTCTGGGTGCCATATTCTACGGATTGGTAATTTTGTCTGCGAGACTAAAATACGCTCTGTATATATGGGCTGCGTTATCCGTAACGTGGGTAACGTTTTGGTTTGGTGTCAATCAAGACATCCATCCCAAAAAGGATTTCGTCAAAATGGTGTTAATCATTAACTCCATTTTGGCAGCCATATTCTTTTTTAAAACACTCTTCCATGTTGGAGTGTATGAAAGCCTTCAGTTTCTGAAGAAGAACCTCTCTTTTTGGGGTCCAACAAACGGTTTTCTCAGCTTCATAGAGAAAGCTAATCCTTGGCTTGCCAAGTGTGTAGGTATGAATTTTTGTATACTTATTTCTGTAAAATGTTTTGAAAATTTATTTTTATATTAATGAATTTTTTATTTATGCAAGGCTTTTCTTCCGCGGCTCCTCCTGCTGCCCCCGCACCCGCTGCAGCCTCCGCAACCCCTGCTGGCGATCCTGCCGCTGCTGCTGCCATTGCTGCTCATGTTTAGGGTAGGTAGGGTTTAGGGTAGGATCTACATTTAAAAGACTTTTTTGTCATCTGTTTGGTTGCCGAGAATAGGAGGGAAACGGAAGAATGAAACCGCTGAGTATTAATGCCGATTGACTAGAAAAAAGGAGTGAAATATTGTCAATCTGTTTGGTTGCCTAGAAAATTTCCAGTAGCCATACGAGGGCTCAAACTTTCTGTAGTGTGTATTTTGACTAAATTACTGAATGACCAAGGCCATTTTTGTGTTTCCTAGTAGATTATATGAATCTTGTACTTCTGTATAACATTTGCCATTACATGCCTCATCGATATTGTTAGTTCCTTTCTCTCTGGGTTTCCATACTGTGTTTCTTTATTTATTTAGGCAAAGTGAGAGCTCATGCTCTTGATGAGAACGTTAGAGCTTACTAATAATAGCTCATGCAGTTTGCAGGCTCATTGTGGTTGTTTGTCTAGTTGAAATTTTCTTGGTGTTACACTTGGATATTTACATTGAAGACATCGTCGATGACTTTTAATAGGGCGTCGTTTGGGTTGGGGTTGAGTTTCAACCCGTGGCACAAACCTGTCTGAAATGTATTTTAGATCTCGTATTGAGTTTTAATACAAGCGATATTAAGAGAAGAGAATGAACTTGGATTGTTCTTGGATTACCAGATTAAATTTAATGGTTAAATATATTAGAACAAAAGTTCCGTAATGAAATTAGGTTGGATAGTGGCTGGTTCTGAAAAGTAACTTGCATAATACGATTATACTGTCACGTGATATTTTGTGTCAATGAAATAAGGACATGTGGATGCGGGATTCGACCATGGAGATGAGAATAAAAAGGTTGGCGTGAGTAATTAATTTTCGTAGCAGACTTCTATATAAGGAGTTGATGTTCATATTTGTGTTTGATTCCTAATTTTGCAAAAAAGTATGTTGTAAGTAGAACTGTTTTTAAGAATTATAATTCTTTCTAATATAAACGAAATTTCAACAAACAACCCCCCCAAATCACAAAAACAGAAATTCGAACAGAAAAATCATTTCGAAATCCAAATTTACACTTCTAAACACATAATATTCAAACCAAAAAATTAAACTAGTCTTGATCAGTTGCATATACATTGTTCATTCAGTTTTAATTATTTTCCTTTTCCATGAATGACAACCACTTGCCAAACGCATAAAAAATAAGACAAACACATTTGTAAAAAAACAAAAGAAATGAGACGGGACTCAAAATTGAAGGTAAAGAAACATAAATAAAAAAATATTTAGAAGCGCGTAACGTCGTGATAATAAAAGAGTCTCTCACATGCACGAAAGAGTCCGATTACATTTTAGTTGCTCCTTGTTGGTTTTTGCTCTCTGGTGATTGTGTAGTTGGGAGATGGCATGGGCAATAATCCAGGCATGTCTTTACATGATATGGTTTTGGCGGACGCTTGTGTACATCTGCGTCGCGTTTGTATAGCACGTGGGGTTGAAAAATGAGATTGCTAGGGCTAGGGCTTGTGGCACCTGCTAGGCTTCTACAACTCTTGTACATAAATTAATAAGCTTTCTTTTACTATGTAAAACCTCACAACGCCTTTTCCTTCCTTTTTTTTCTCTTTCCTTTTCTGTGAAACTTTCTTTTACTTACACATCTCTGGGGAAAACCCAGTTTTGCTTCTTCATCAATTAATGTCTTTGGTTTAGGTCTATTTTGCCCCTCGACACAGAGTGAGGGACAAAGGCTGCTGTACGGCTAAGCATAAATGGGAGGAATATTAACTTTGAGAAATTAATGAAATATATGGTGAAAATTTAATGGTCTATTTTGCATCTGAAAAAGAATTTGGCTATCAATTTGACCCCAAATCAAATAGTTGGAAAAGAAAGAAACAACAGTTTCTCACCTTAGCCTCCTACCAGAAAAGAGGAAAATACCATATTGGATCATCAACCATCTCAATGACCAACTGGTCCATGTCCAATAATTGACACTATGAAAAGGAACGATCTTCTACTCACTATGATGCTTTATGTTTTAATGGTGATAGACCCAGAATGTAGAATGTATTTTTCATGTGAGCATGGACGCTTCTTTTATATACACAACGATAACCAACTCTCACCTATCCACGTTCAAAACATGCATGTGGTTGGGTGGTGTTTTATTTTTCATAATAACTTATTAATTCTTATTATCTCATTGTATTTATCCTTGATAATTAGTTAAGTCTAATTAGGGTTCCAACATTATAATCATAGCTTACTACATGACAACTTTTAAGTGGTTGCTAATGCCACTCGTGGCATGTTACACCCCAAACAAGTTTTCCTCCACATCGTAAGTGGAAAACGTCTAACTTGATGAGAAGAAAAAAAAAAGGTAATAAGACGATATGATGCTTATTTTTTTATTAGTCACACATTATATAATATGTCAATTTAATTTAAAAGTTAGTCTACATTGCATTACTCTTTGATAATCTCCTTCGATCACTCTATATTTATTTTTTTTTTGTTCAGACTGATTTTTTTCCCGCAACGGATTTGGAATTCCCCGTCAGATATTCCTGCAAACCCACACCGTCAAATTTCTCGCTCTCTGCATCCCCGTAACGACCCGCCATTCCTTCCACCCCAAGCCACCATCGTTCCCAACCTGAGCGCACACACCCCACTGTTATGATGCAGAAAGTGAAGCTTCTGCAATGGTGTTATCTTAGAGAAATAGAGCATGAGAGAGAGAGAAGTAGAAAGCGTGAAGAGAAAGAAATCCATCACTGAATAATACCTCAATTGTATTGAAAATGAATTCTTACAGTAACAATACAAGTATATATAGTCACAGCTTTCCTTACACACTAAGTAAACTCTACTAACTGTTTTAACAAACTAACAACTTATTGCTTAACCCTCTTGACACTTGTCACTATCTGGAACCTTCATATCCTTACACCAACCACCCCAAGCCCACTCGCAACCCACTTTTCAGACCATATTTTTCATTCACTTCCCCTCGCCGTCGGTGCACAATTGAAAGCACCCGCCTAATTTTTAGAAAACTGGAGATGGAGGGATTGCAGTGGCGACTGGGGTGTCTTTGGATGCAGTTACGTGCGGCGGGATGGATTGGGGGTGGGAGTCGAAGATCACAGCCTGGACACGGTGGTTATGGAGGAAAGACGAAGGAGTTGGGGTGGATTCGAAGAAGGATGGGGGAAGGGAGAAAGAGGAGGAAATAAGGAGGGGTTGCTGCTGGGAATCGGGAGGTTGAAGATGAATAGTGGGGGCGGGGCCCATGATGTCAAAAAAAATTTAAAGGGCGAAAGAGGGAAGAAAAGGAGGTGGGTCACTAGAAGCTTTAAACGACTCGCGGCAGCACCTGATAAGGCCACGTGTTATTTTGTTTTTCTACAAATCACTAAAAACACAATAAAAATCCTTAATAATTGCTCTACAAGTTTAAAAAATATGCAACCCTCGTGGTTACATCCTTTAGTCTTTGATGATGATTAGATCATCGTTTGTATTATTGACATCTGAGGAAGTCACGATGTTGTTGTTGGATCAATTCGTAAATCCGAGTCGCCGCTTGCAATCCCGATGTCATTGCTGGAGAATTAATCCCCAAAATCAATGGATTTTAATCCTCAAAATCAAGCAACGAGAAGGTTTGCTATCGAAGTTGAGTCATGGGTTCTTTGACTTCGAGTTCTGCAGGTTAGTTAGTTCTTCTTCTCGTGTATATTTGTGATTTGTTAATTTACTCTTGATTGCTGGGGTGTTTATATATGGTTACTCTTAAAGGAGATGGTAGATATACGTCTTTTTGTCTCAATGCAGTTTGTTGAACTTGTGTTGACACTGCTATACCTTCTTGCATGTGTGGCCATTGTTTTATTGTTGCAGGAGATCCGTGTTTTATAGTTGGAAGAGCCCCGGTACCATTTTCGGATTCACCGCCGACTCATTACACTTTAAAAATAGAGTCATTTTCCTTGCTAAAGAATTGGCCGGATGGATTTGAGTCGGAGGAGTTCAAGGCTGGAGGATACGAGTGATAGATATTTTCTCTTTTTTTTTTCACGATCTGGATAGTGGATTGGGAAACTGGCTAAAATGATCCGTTTTAAAATATCGATAGTTGAAATTTTTTGTGTGTATCGTTAACAACTGATCCCTATGTCATCGATATTTAATTATGATGTGTTCGTATTCGAGAGTTTATCTCTGATGATTTCAGACAATTTCCCTATAATGCATACCTTGTGATTTGAAGGAATATATTTTTTTTTAAATTTACAGCATATGAATGCATTGTTATGTGTGCTCTCACAGGAAACTTGTGCTTTACCCGAATGGAAACAAGGAGAAGAACGTGAAAGATCACATCTCAGTCTGCTTAAAAATGGCCGGAGCAGATTTACTTCAACCTGGTTGGGAAGTATTTGTTGACTTTAGATTGTTTTTGCTTGATCAGAACAAGGGAATCTACTTGGTCCTTAAGGGTATATATGTATATATTATATACATCCATTTGAATTTAATCACTTCTCATGCATCCATATCAGATATACCAGTTAATTTTGTGTTGCAATATAATACTCATATTTTTCTTTTTGGTCTGGCGTTGCATTGTTCATTATAGACGAAAATATAAACAAGATGTGCTTTCACGCGGCGATGCTTGATGCTGGTTTTGATAGAGTTTTCCCCCTGGAAGCATTTACCGATCCTTCCAATGGCTATCTCATTGGCGACACTTGCGTGTTTGGAGCGGAGGTCTTTGTTTGTAAGGAAAGGAGAAGAGGCAAAGAAGAGTGTATCACTTTCTACGATTGTTTGATGTATAAGCATCCTTGGAGGATTGAGAAATTTTCCAAGTTAAAATATGAATGCATTGAGTCGAAACCATTCAATGCTGTTGGCATGAAATGGCACGTATATATCTCCGACAATCAAGCTTTAGTATTAAGTTTGCAAAAGTAAAACCGGTTAATTAACGTTTACTCTTCCTTTAATTTGTTTGTTGTTTCAGGAAGTTAGTGCTCTATCCCAGGGGACATATCGGTGGAAAGGACACTCATGTTGCTCTTTACCTAGCATTCGTTGATCCAAAATCACTATTACCTTGCTACAATATCCTTACAGAAGTAACGTTTAGCATTGTAAATCAAGAAGGCATGGAGACAATTTTGTTCGCAAAGGTAAAGATTTGGCCTAAGGAGATATACCATTACTCAGTATCCGTTTTGGCTGCAGCAGTAATCTGAATCTTCAGAACCCTTTTTTTCTGTCTGCTTGCAGGCAAGCATCGGTTCAGTACCTCGGATTCAAGTTGGGGTTGGACTTATTTCATTCCGCTGGAATATTTAAGTCAGGCAGACAGTTGTTATTTGTTGAAGAATACTTGGTCAATAGAGGCAGAGGTCATTGTCCATGGAATTGGTAAACAACTATGTTAGAAATGGCACATTTTTTCTTAATTTCTTTTGAGTTCTTTGCTGTTCTCTCCTGGGTGAATTGCTTTTGAGTTCTTAGCTGTTCTTCAAGCTATTTTAGAATTGGCACATTTTTTTTCTTAATTTCTTTTGTCTTTAGGAATTAATGGTTCGAAAATAACAAATGCAATAAATCTTGAGAAAATAATGTCCTGAGTTTATCATTACTTCAATCCTTTTTTTCATTTGGTTGCCCCAACACTCTACCTAATCAAAAGCAGTCAGTATTTGTATAGTGTAAAAGCATCTATTTGGTCGCTTGCCAAACAACAAATTATTATTATTTTTTTTTAAAGTGCCACTTACAAAAAAATGCTCTGTGAGTAAAAGCGTTTTATGGAGTAGCCAGAGCAAAAGCCCTTAATAATTTTATTTAACGCTTATAATAAGCTCAACATCAAACCATTCCAATAAGATTGCTGGTTCAAGCAATGAGCTTTTTTATTTTGCCTCTAACAGCTAGTTTGTGCCCGTTTATTTGGTCTGTTTCATGTTGGGAACACAAACAACTACTCTCTCTTATTTCATTATTTTCAATCTTAAATTCTTCATATATCTTTTATACAGTAAATAAATCACATATACTAAAAAATTACAAGATCATATTGACGCCCTCTTTTTTTTAATAAGACCCACACAACGAAACTCAATGTCCAGGGAAATCGCGCTCTCCCAAAATGATGCTTCCAGCCTTCCACCTTCTTCTCCTTCGGGGGTCTGTAATCTCTTAATTTCCAAATTCTCAAAAAAAAAAAAAAAAAAATTTGGTTACATTGAAAAAGTGAAGATTTGGGAGCGTCCAGAAAACTTGACCTTTGCCTTTTTTTAAATAGTCAAACTTAACTTGGGTACCTTTCATTGAAATGTTACAATGCTCATGATATGCCCTCCACTGCACATATCGCGTTATCAAAAGCCGGTGCTGCTCATGCCTATTTTACCACTACAGTGGGCTTGTTTCAAACGCTTCTTTAACACAAATTTTTTTTACAAACAATAACGTTAGTGGATTAATTGTTAGTTGTTAGCAGGAAAAGGATCGGTAGGAATCGTACCCTCATTAGGTTGTATAAACATAGTTATTTTTCGTCACTGCATTAAGCGTCATTTACAACACAATTCGTTTTGTGAGTCTCATAAAAATGTCATATCTGCGCACTAAATGATTTTTTAACCAAGTGGATGAAATGATACCTTAATGACCAAAGAAATAGATGAGATACCAAACTAATAAGTTGTCAAACCACTAAAGTCCTGGTTGCATTTGCATATAAGTTTCTCTCAAGCTCTCGTTCGAAGAGAAAAAAGGGAATGCCTTCCAGAAGTTACCGCAGTAGAAGTTGGAGTTTATACACAACAACGATTTCTTAAACATGAACCTCATTTAACAAAAGAAACCATACACAATCTGTAAGAACTGTCTTGAAATAGAAGGTATATTTTCTTCTCTCTTTTCTCCAGCTTACCCTTGTTGTGAAACTAGTTTAAATATGCATAAATGCATGTCTTACAAGTCCTTGAAATTAAAGAAGCATTCATGCTCGTGTCATGTCACATCCCGGTCCGAGCCCCCACCACATTCCGGGCTCAACTCCATCGTAGCACAATATTGTCCACTTTGGGCCTCGACCACACCCTCACGGTTTTGTTTCTGGGAACTCACACGAGAACTTCCCAGTGAGTCACCTATCCTGGGATTGCTCTCGTGCGAACTTGCCGCTTTGGGCCCCGACCATGCTCTCACGGTTTTGTTTCTGGGAACTCACGCAAGTGAAACTACCCAGTGGGTCATCCATCCTGGGAATGCTCTCGCCCGAACTCGCTTAACTTCGGAGTTCCTACAGAACCCGAAGCCAGTGAGCTCTCAAAAGGCCTCGTGCTATATGGAGGTGGGCATGTACATATAAAGCATAGAGGATCCTCTCCTCTGGACGATGTGGGATCTAACATGTCATATCTTTGAGACATATATGGCAAATGTAAGAATATTCATGTGATTTCCTCTTCCATGGATTCATGTGAGTTCATCAAGCTATGGATTGCAGTCAAGCTTAGTGAATTAGCTCTACATATAGTTAGACTTCTTAGGGTTTTGTATCCGGATAAAGTAAACCATATTGGAGGGGAAAATGTAAATTAAGTCACATCTGAATTAATGGAACACTTGGCTTAATGAAAAATATAGGTAACTGCTTTGTTGATGGGCCGGGTAAGGCAGTTGTCTGCAAGTGGGACAGGTCCCTCTTCTTGGTACAAATATGGCATTTTCGTCCTTTCAGCATTATAAACAGATAATACGAAGTCGAGTAAAGATGTGAGTTACTGGCTGAAGCAATTAGGGTTTCGGGGTCCTCGTTCTTCCCCCTCTATATATTAGGCAATCTACCGATTCTTCTGTAGCGTCTTCGTCCTACGACAGCTCCACGCAATGTCTCCACAATGGCATAGTGACCGAAATGCGTGTTGAGTTTTGCTCCGTAGGAAATGACTAGACCCTAGCCGAACACTTTCTTTCACCGCCGTGCTGGTGAGAGCCGGAGTACGGCAAATTCCGTTGGCAGGTCCCAGTGATGCCTTTAAAGACGTTGGCGTTGGTTGCGAAGTGGCTAGAAACTAATTGTGAGGGTTACACGTACGATTGTTGAAGACAAGGTTTGGTTCTATCGATCTTACTCCGAACCTAATTTGTTAATCATGTTTGATAATTTTGCTTGATTCGTGTCTGAGTTTACAGTATCTCTTGGACTAAAAACTCAAAGGAATAATGTGATCGTTACATGTTGAGATCCAGAGTGCAAATTGTTTCCTGGCTTAACGAACAAATAAAAAATCAATCGCGATATCCTCGTATACATTTTGTAGTGAAGTTCTCAAAGGCATGAACGGATCATCAAGCATCAATTTTAAAACATGAAAAAGGTAGCAGTCAATTTGAGAAAAGAAAACATTCAGCACGCCTTTCTCAAACTTTTCTCTCTTTGTATTACTGTGAAACTTTCTTTCAAAAGCATGTGACAGCAGATAGCTTGCAACGGCTACATTCTTTGTTTATGTTATTGTAAGTTGTCATTCAACTGGGGTGAATTTTTTTGACGTTCTATCCATCACCTAGAAGATGGATGCATTCGTAAATAAATAAAATCTCAAAAACAACAGAAAGCAATAAAAATCATAAACGAAGAATATTGTGTGTAATCAAAATATTGTCACGTGCACATAATGTTATCATTTTGTGCACCGACAAAGTGGATGAATAACTTTTTATTTTTTATTTCAGTGAGAGTGAATAACTTTTTTGTGGTCAATGGGAAAGTAATGTTGTTGTTATTATTACTAGCATATGCTCCACTTTTGAGTGTACACATAATTTTATCTTTATTTTAAAATGTGAATGAGAAAGGGAGAAAAAAAAAGAATCTCTATTAATTAATGAAACCCTCTTTGTCAACTAAAAGAGAGTGAAAAGACTACTTAGGCTTCTATCACACAAAAAAAAAATGATGGGAAATAATGTAATTTTATATGTCTAAATTTTTCTGTTTTTTATTGAAGCCTCACCTACATGTGATGTTAAAATACCTCCAATATTAAAAAATAAAAAAAAACCTCCCGCTCTCCTTCTCTCCTTCTCATTTTCTAAAAAAATGTGTTCATACAAACAAAGTGTGTAGGCAAATGCTAGTGTGGATTAAAGAAAGAAGTTTTCTTTTTTATATTTTATTTTTTCAAAATTAGAGGATGTTTGGATCACCCTTGGGTGGAGAAAAACTTGTGTGGGGCTTGGCTTACCACTGGATTTTGTTGAGTGGCACTACAATCCACTCAAAACTCGCCACGTGGCAAGTCTTAAATATATTCTTTTATCATTCTTTTATATAAAATATCATTCTTTTATATTTAAAATTTTTATAATTATTTTTTTAACTAATTAATATATTATATATATTAATGTTATGTTTCCTTTTTTATTTCTTTCCCCCTATATTTTTTCTTCCCAAATCCACCCCACACCACCCACACCCCCCCCCCCCCGGGCAACTTTGTTTTGCCGTAGATCTTAGGTTTCAATACTCTCACCCCTTTCTTTCTTTCCCAGTTTCGTTTCTTTCTTTCTTTAAAAAAAAAAAAAAAAAGTTCTACACCCACTCCAATTTTATCATGGAAAGCAACTAAGAATTTGTAAGTTTTTTTTCTTTCTTTATACAATAGTTGCTTTGATCATGTGACATGAATAACCCACATATATAGATGTAGTAGGGTTATTTTCTTATCTTTTAATTGGGGGTTTTTGGGTTTGGGTGAGGTTTTTTGGATTTTTTATAATTATAATATGAATTAGGGTATCTTCTATGTTTACTACCTTCTTTATTACGAGTCTTTAATTAATACATTAGTCTAATCTTTGATTTTTTTTTTTTTTTTCAATTGATAGGTTGCTGCTGAGGCAATGGAGTTTGAAGAAGATTTGAAAATCGGAATGGTAGTGCATTCAAACGCTGAAGCTTACAGATACTTGGTTGCTTTCCATGATAAACTTGGAGTGGGTGCATAACTTTATTTTATTTTATTTTATTTTATTTAAAGAAAGAAATAAATGAAACTGGGTAAGAAAGAAAGGGGAGGGAGTCCTATGACCTACGGCAAAACAAAGTGTGGGGGGGGGGGGGCGGGATTTGGGAAGAAAAAAAATAAGGGGAAAGAAATAAAAAAGGAAACATAACATTAATATATATATATATATATAATATATTAATTAGTTAAAAAAATAATTATAAAAAATTTAAATATAAAAGAATGATAAAAGAATATATTTAAGACTTGCCACGTTGGGGGGGGGATTTGGGAAGAAAAAAAATAGGGGGAAAGAAATAAAAA